GGGAGGGGGCATGCATGAGGGATGTGGCAGGGGAAGCTGGGGATTAGGGGAAGGGGGCCTGTCAGCCTCACATTCTCTCCTCTTATATGTGTGCTGTGATCTATGGGGCTTGTAGGGTGACCAGTTGTCCTGATTTTAAAAGGACAGTCTCGATATTCAGGGCTTTGTCTTATATAGGCACATATTATCCCACACCCCTGCCCCAATTTTTCACATTTGCTACCTGGGGCTCGTCTCTCCTGGGGGGTCTGAGCCTCTTTCATTGCCCCCAGGTGTGTGCTGAGACCTGGGGGATCCTTGCCACTCTCAGTGCCTGAGCCCCTTTCTGTGCCACCATGTGTGATGGGATCTGGGGGGGGGGCTGGTCCCTTGGGTCTAAGCCCATCTTCATACCCCCCATGAGAGCCAGGATCTGGGGAACCCAGCCCTTCTAGGGTGGTCTGAGCACACTCCATGTAAACCAGGATTTTAGGGCCCTGCCTCTCTGGGGGCTCAACGCCTCTCTGTTCCCCCCGCCCTATGTGAGCCAGGTTCTGAGGTAACAGAAATGTAAGCCTCTGAAACCTTGGAACTATCAAGTTAAGGTGCACACCACCCCCACGTGGGCTGGGGGGCTGGATGGAGGGGGATGGAAGCCAGTTTGGAGGGAGGTGGACCAAAGGGCGTTCTCTAGGGCTGAAGGGCTATTCAGGTGTTTGCTCTCCAGTGAGCCCACCACTGGCCAGTGGTCAGTCTTTTAAGAGTGGTATTTATTGATTTCAAACTAATGGGTTATGCATGCCGGGAGATCATATTCCAACGCAATCTTGCAAACAAATCATTATACAAATATGCCGTAATGCTATTAAAACAGCATACTGTTAATATTATTGCTATTAAAACTATGCAATTAAAAACTAGAAGTTAAACTCATGAGAAATGAACACACATCATCTAATAGTGAGATCTGAATGAGGCCCTGGTATCTGGAATAGGCTGACTGGGTATTATGTGTATCAACAATCCCGGGTAAACCCTTTCGCCGACTAGGATTTAACAGTGGTTCCTATTCGGGATACTACTGTCACTTCACACTTCATGCCGACAGCAGGCGGAGAACCGAAATCCTTCTGTTCCAAAAGCCCCCCTAACCAGTAATGCTGAACCTCCTATAGTCATTGACACGATAGGACTATGACACAGCAGAGCAGCTCTGTTTCCATCCACTAGGGGGCAGGGGTGCACATGCACCCTTACCACTTCACGAGGCAGTGTACAGGATACACGATGCTTGTAAGCACGCAAAGAGAATCTAAGTGGGCATGACGGCCTAATGCAGATGATCTCTGGCTTGCTTTGTGTCACCTGCCCTCTTTCTTTGACTGCATCCTCTGTCTTCTCTTTCTCTCTTTCAACACCCTTCTCCCCATTCACACCCAGTGTAGTTGCTGGTTTAGCTTCCCAGCTCTGTCCTGTCCTTAACTCCTAATCTTTCCCCAGAGGCTTTGATCCTTTCTTGTGATTTACCTGGACAGTGTCGTAGGCCAGGAATCCAGTCATGCTGCCGGTGCCATATTGGATAGAGATGCTCTGACTGGTGGCCTGGTAGGTGGAGGACTTCTTAGGGTTAAAACGTCTGTGGTTCGCTGCGAGTACAGAAGAGTCAGAAGGTCACAACCTGACATTTCCTGGAGCCATGTGCCACGGCTAGGGCAGCACTAACTGCTGGAAGGCCGGGGTGATGGGAATATTCCGTGCTTTGCCACTTAAGGCAGGCAGTTCTTGTGCTAATAGTTTGTGTCTCGGCTAATGCTCTTCCATTATGGGCCACTTGGCAGGAGCCATTCTACTGAGCTTTGTGACATGGGCCTGAGCTGTCCACTCCCTCCTAGTCATTGTTGGGACCCTCTCCCAGCCCTGGCTCTGTATGAACTAATAAGCTAGTTTGATTTGGGAATAAGGACCAAGTCCATCTCCAACGAGGCCTTGTCACCTGCTCTCCCTAAGGACCAGCTCACCACCTGGCCAAAGCTCCAAGCACCCTGACACAATACACAGAGGATGACAAAGCCCAAACAGGGGAACGTTCCCCTCCACCAAACCATCTGGTCAGGACCCATGGGACTAAGAACATAAGAATGGCCCTACTGGGTCAGACCAAGGGTCCATCTAGCCCAGTATCCTGTCTTTGCTGAATATGATTATCCTATTTGTATGCATGTATCATTTTTGTATCTGAAGCTATGACTATTGACTAGGGATCAGTATTTCAAATGGGCTTACTCTGGAAAACATCCACAGCCAGCCTTTTAGGTACAACAATGAAGAAGCCAGATGGTGCTAATGGCTCATCAACAAAGACCATGGGCTGTGGAATAGCTTAACCTTCCTGTGGATGTTTTAGCCAGCCTGTAAGCAATGGCTGCTATGACACTGCAAGGGCATGTGACCAGGCCACATGACACGGAACTCCATCTTGGATGCCAGTGTTTTTGCACAAACTGGGCTGGGAACTGAGTTTGGGACAAAGGGTTCTCGCCATATGCTAAAGCTATATAAGGCAGGGAGTGACATCATTGATTGTTCTTCACTCCCCACACAAAAGGTCTCCTGGTAACACCTGAGGAATAAAGACTGAACTGGGGGAAGTGCTGGACCCAGGCTAAAGGGATTTCTAGCCTGTGTATGAAAAACCTGGTGATTCAAAGCTGCAAAGCAAGTGCAGCTTGTACCTTGAGAATCTGCCAGCCTGCTTGTATCATCAGCCAGGGTGAGAATTTGCTAATTCATATCCTATCTTTCTAGTATTTTAGGCTTAGTTTGTGTTTTTGTTTATTTACTCTGTAATCTTCTTTGATGT